GCTGAGCGGACCCTTCGGGCGGCCACGGCGGTGAAGACCCTTCAGGCGGCCATGGCGGTGAAGACCCTTCAGGCGGCCACGGCGGTGAAGACCCTTCAGGCGGCCACGGCGGTGAAGACCCTTCCGGCGGCCATGGCGGTGAAGACCCTTCCGGCGGCCACTGCGGAGATGACGGAGGGAGGAGCCATGGAGGGGGCAGGACTGACGACTCCAGGGAGCCGACTGATGGAGGCGGAGCAGGTGATCGAGGAGACCCGGGTGAGGCCATCGAGCCAGCGAGACCGGGCGATGTAGACGGGCTGGCGGGACATGGCGACACCAACGGCTCCGGCGACTGAGGCCGAGACGAGGATCCTGAAGACCGCGGCGCAGCCAGAGCGACCGAGGACCAAGGTGGACCCGGAGGGAGAGAAGAGCCCAACTGAACCAGAAGGACGCAGCGACGAGGCGAAGCAAGAGGAGGGTAGTCCCAGGGTGAGGGCAGGTTGATGAAGGACCAAGGGGAAACCGGGGGGACGAGGAAGCCTGGAGGAGCTGGTGGGCTGAAGGGCCACGGCGGAGGTGAGGGAGGTAAGAGCCATGGTGGAGGTAATGGACCAGAGGGCTGCGGCAGAGACCAGGTCGAGGAGGTTCGAGGAGGAGACCGGGGATCCCCTGACCCAGATGGAGTTGGTGGCCGGCAGACCCACGACGATTCTACCTCCTCGAAGCACTCCGGGGAAGCAGTGGGGCTGCCAAGCAGTGGTGGAGAGACGGTGAAAACCTGATGGATAGGAGGAGGTGGGAGAGGGAGGCTGGGTGGGATCCTGGTCTCGGGCTCTGGTTGGACGGTCTCGGGCTCTGGCTCTGGCTGGACGGTCTCGGGCTCTGGCTCTGGCTGGACGGTCTCGGGCTCTGGCTCTGGCTGGACGGTCTCGGGCTCTGGCTGGACGGTCTCGGGCTCTGGCTCTGGCTGGACGGTCTCGGGCTCTGGCTCTGGCTGGACGGTCTCGGGCTCTGGCTCTGGCTGGACGGTCTCGGGCTCTGGCTCTGGCTGGACGGTCTCGGGCTCTGGCTCTGGCTGGACGGGCTCTGGCTCTGGCTGGACGGTCTCGGGCTCTGGCTGGACGGTCTCTGGCGCTGGCTGGACGGTCTCTGGCGCTGGCTGGACGGTCTCTGGTGCTGGCTGGACGGTCTCTGGCGCTGGCTGGACGGTCTCTGGCGTTGGAGTGGGGCTGGTGCCGTCGTCCACGGTGAAAGAAGATCCACATGACACCAGCACCCACTCCACATAGGCCGCGAAGTTCCCTCGAGGCCCATCTCCGGGCAGGCGTGCCTGGGTTTCAGCGTTTAGGCCTGCCCGGAAGAACACACAGAGGCTTGTGTCATCAAAATGAACATGAGGTACCAAGTTCAAATACCTCTGTGTGTGGGCCTCGAGGGATTGATCCTCCTGCTCCAAGAGAAGGAGCTGTACGGCTGCAAATTCCATATTATTTGGGTCGGTCAATCTGTCACGCTATGTGTGCAGGCAGAAGAGGACGAGGAGTCAGGATTCCCATGAAGACAATATATTTAATACCAAATACAGGCAGGAAGACGGGGTACACAGAGTAACATGCAACATTGACCGACAATAACTGAATGAAACAGAGGGAACTAAATACAGGGAGGAACCAAACATAACGATGTGAAGACAGGTGATACTGATGAACAAGACGAGGAACAGGTGGCTGATGAGGGAGTGAGTTCAGGAGTGGAGACAAGAGGATCCTGGGAAGTGTAGTGCTGATGACAAGACAGGACGGTGCAGACGAAAACTGTGACAACGTGAAGTATAAAAGACCCTTACTTACACTTGTCTGAGTTCGCAGATGCTGACGCTTCACTTATGCTCTCGTTCAGTCGCCAACATGCTCAGGATACGCACATTGTTTACAATTATCGACATCCGACTATGTCCCGCACTACCTCCTGCTGCACGTCGAGGTTCCCACGTTAAGTATCGCATCTCTCCGTAGGCACAGCGGTCTTCGGAGAGTATTGATCAGCCAAGGCCTTAATGAGAAGTTCTGCTCCTTAGACTGGTGCCATTTATCCCGCAGATCACCGATCCACCGACATGAAATAACAACTATGCTAATCACGAGACGATCTCTCACTGGTTCAAGTTCAAACTCCACTTCAAGGCTTTCAAGTCGTTTTTCAATTTTGGTAGGCGCTTCCAGCAGCCACTGTTAATGTGTCTCCTCTACAAGATTAAACTTCATTCTAGTAAGTATTTCTCCGTCGCTTCCTACACGGCTGAGTTGAAATTGGCGTCTACGATGACGTGGACGCCACGTCATTATTACTCGTCATTATCTGATTATTACGACTGATCTGCAGCCGCCAGAGGGGCCAGATAGCATGCCTCAATGCCCATAGCAAGTGTAAGCAAAGCTTCGCATTACCGATATTCCACAGTTATGTGGTTATTTAATTATATCAGCTTTGTCAATACCACACTCGGTTTGCTAATACCCACTAACAACTGTGTTTATTATAATTCAAATAAGCTTAAGAGTGCTTAAGACTTTATGCATATGCAATATCACGGGTTGCGCTTCTTAAGGTTTGCCTACTCACTAGAGTTCGGTTGCGTGTGTAGCCTATATAAAAATAAAAAATAAAAAAAATGAATTAAAGAGCACACTTTTGGCTGTTGTGCATATAGTGGACTAGGATGGCAGTAATTTACATATTACTAGTGTAATAGTAATTTTACAAACAACCATTTCACCTATTAGGCTACTTTAAATTCATAAATACTTCAAATTAGATAAATAACATTGGAAATGTGTTGATGTAATTACTCAACTTTCTGGTGGCTACTTAATCTACTGATGTGTGTTATAGGAATCATTTATGTGAGGGGTATTTTCAAATTAATGTACAGAGAAATGCTTACTAAAAGGATCAAGGAGTTGTGTGGCGCCGTTCAAAGTTACATATACTTGGCCAAAAACTGCTAACTCAACAGTCATATTAGTATACATATCAGACTAATCAGTGAAGGAGACTCGACTGATATCGTCTCAGTCAACTGCGTGATTTTCATGTCTATGCACCATTTATTCAAGATTCTCAACTGTCGTGGCAAGCGTCTTTCAGCCATGGATGGGGTTATCTCCTATAGTATCCAACAGCATCCAAGTCAGAAAGCAAAATCCACTCAACCCCTTTTGATTACCTCTGTCTGCAGTGGTCTCTTTCTTATTGTTATCAGATTATAGCTGTCTGTTACAGCGTTCATGGCTCATTCCAGGTGCTAAATACTCCCGATTTTCCCCATGGTCTTTTCTAATCTCATTTCTTACCTAATTCCTTCCTCAAAGAATGACTATAAAGGCTTTGCATCACATTATCATTTATAAATTGGGATTAAATTCTGTCCCTTCTCATCTATGATCAAATTACTATTTATCATAACTAACGGAGCACTACTCTTTAACCTGGTTCAGGATTCGTCAGTTCTGTCCTCAATAGCTGCAGTCTATCTCCCTCCCAGTATACTGGTCATCCTTCAGGATCTGGGCAGGCACTACAGCAGCTGATCGTGGCATTCCACTTCAGTTATTAAGATCCTGGGCAGATGGTCTTCCTCTGCATTGGAGTTATATAAGACCCAATCTAAAGATCATTCTCGAAGCTCAGCAAGCATTGCAGTAACGATTCAGGTAAATTCCTATGGAATTACTGGTGGTGGTGTATGCTTTCTATCTGGTGATAGTCTCAGCTTGAATAATTCGCCTTGCGCCATCACTGGCTATATGGTCCTTAGGGGGCTGGCTTGTGCAGCCTAGTGGCTTTTCTAGGCACGTTTAGTTATGCGCAGCTCTAGCAGCCTAGCGGCTCAGCGAACCTCGTCTATGCGTGGATTAACATGACCTTGTCTCTGTGTGGCTCTGCGTGGTCTTGTCTATGTGGCTCAGAGTGGCCTTGTTTTTATGCGGCTCAGCGCGGCCTCGTCTCTGTGGGGCTCAGCGCAGCCTCGTCTCTGTGTGGCTCAGCACGGCCTCGTCTCTGTGGGGCTCAGTGCGGCCTCGTCTCTGCAGTGCTCAGTGCAGCCTCATCTCTATAGGGCTCAGCGCGGCCTCGTCTCTGTGGGGCTCAGCGCGGCCTCGTTTGCTCAGCCTGGCCTCGTTTTATGTGGCTCAGCGTGGCCTCGTCTATGTGGCTCAGCGTGGCCTCGTCCATGTGGCTCAGCGTGGCCTTGTTTTATGTGGCTCAGTGTGGCCTCGTCTATGTGGCTCAGCGTGGCCTTGTTTTTATGTGGCTCAGCGTGGCCCTTTCTATGTTGCTCAGCGTGGCCTTGTTTTATGTGGCTCAGCGTGGCCTTGTCTATGTGGCTCAGCGTGGCCCTTTCTATGTGGCTCAGCTGGCCTCATTTTATGTGGCTCAGCGCGGCCTCCTATATATTAAATAAATAAATGATAAATTAATTTTATACAGCAATTCTGTAAATGTCTCATGTAATTCAGCAGCAGAGAAGTATCTTCACATGAAGTTAAGCATGCTCGACTTTAGATTGTAGAGTTCCGTTCCCACTACAATATCAATGGAACTCTACTATCCATGGAAATTGACATACCCATGTTTACCAGCTGTTTGCTAACTCTTTTTCTTCTTCTATTTTAGGAACTACATAGCATACTCCTGGTGGGTATACTTTTCTTTCATGTTCTTTGGGGGTGGGCTTCGTCCAGTGGAATTATTCTTCCACTCATTTTTGGGGGTCGGCTGCGCCCCTGCCTTCATCTTCAGGCAGGATATGCAGAATCCGTACCCTCGGATCCCGAGTTATGGACGGGGCCTACGCCAAAGAACTTTATTGCATACACTATATGGCTTGCTGGGCTGTTAATAAAATGCTTTATTGTACAGTATCTTATCTCCCGAGTCTTTCTGGTAGAACTATTTTTAATAGTATTTTAACACAATAGTAAAACAATTAGTAAACAATAACATCAGTTTCATACCCAGTGGTCCGGCCAGCCTAAGTGGACCAAGAGGATTGAATGGATTCATTGCTGTCCCCAAGGCTTTAATCCAAATGGGAACCCAGCGCTCCTGAACATTTGGCCTTGCTGCAAAACCCCATGGCTCCACCAACACCAAGTGCTTCAATCTGTAAATTAATTTAGACAAAATTCTTTATAGCAGACATTGAAAGCATCCTTGACTGATTCAATATTGGTAAAATATTATTTTATTTTATGCCATCATCCATCTGAATACTCGATTCTGATTGGCTGGAAGGTGGGCAATACAACTGTTTAATGCACAGGTAGTTCCAAGTTAGTTTAATCACAGTTCTATATTAATGTGCTGCTTTTATTGAGTGACACACACACACGTCACTTACACAAAGAAATCGTAGATCGCGCTTGCACATTCCTGTACACAGAAATGTGTCAAGATTGCCCCACTACTTTTATTAATAAAAATTAACTTCACTACTGAATCACAACATTATATTACTCAGCGAGGAAGATGTAACATTCCTGTTTTTTAGGTATTAAAATGGACAGGTAACACACACACACACACACACACGCACACACACACACACACACACACACACACATCTCTCTCTCTTTCTCTTCTCTTGAAAGGCTAATTCATTCAAATAAACTGTCCCAATTCAGAGGCCGCATCCTTTGTACTCTGACTTCAGAAAATGCATTTTTCAAAGGCTGCAAAGGTCAAACGATCAAGCCCACTGAGTAATGTACTTGTCTCTATAGCAACTGTGACAGCTGCTGTTGATAAGTAGCATTAACGTTTGTACTGAACTTTTTTTTTTTTTTAAATAATATTAAACTGTCTGAAAACAAAACAGGGTTCATAAACTGCACTTTTAACCCAAATAAATTGGCAAAACTTTGAGGTTTTAAGTTAAGAAATCCAGTTTAAGTAGCCAGAACTTGCAAATTTTTATTTTGTACTTATTTTGTACTCAGTTGCTATTTTGCTAATTGGTTACACAATGCTTTGACAGCATTAAGCATAGTAAAGGCCAATTTATACTTCTGCGTCGAGGGTACGCCGTAGTGTAGGCCTACGGCGTTGGCTTCGCACGTAGGCGACGCCGTTGTGAGCATTTATACTTCTGCGTTCAGGTATTGGTTGCTCTGCAGTACTGCTCCGAAACGCTAGGAGGCGGCGGAGGGTTTTAATGTTCCACTGTGTTTAGATTCCTCGCGGCTAGGTTACTACAAGCAATAGCGACTGAAAGAGAGTGGATCATGTTGGAGTTGGAGCTTATTGGGGTGGAAAAACAGTTCATTTTAGTGAAATTACTAAAACTGAAAGGCAGAAATGAGAGAAGACGTCGGAGGAGATGGTACGTGTGGAAATGCGTGAGAAGGTACGTGCGGAAATGCGTATGAGGAAATACGATGCTACCAAGCCGACCAATCACCGATCTTGCGGTCCGCGTCGTCGCGACGTGTAGTTACATTTTTGAAGAGGTGCGCGTCAGGCAACGCGGAAGGGTACGCGGTATGGGACGCGTCTGTGCGTATATTACGCCGTACCTACTGCGCGCACCCTATGCAGAAGTATAAATTGGCCTTAATTGTGGAATAAGTACAATAATATTGAATATTTAACATACCTGTACTCAAACCAAGTTCATGCTCCAATTTTCACCCCAAAAAACCCAATGTAACAGAACTCTTTTAAAATAGCATATCTAAAAATTAAACACTAACAAATCTCACACTTAACATTAAAATTGCAAAATAAATAAATAAATAAATATACATATATATATATATATATATATATATATATATACATATACATATTATGTATATATATATATATATATATATATATATATAGTACGACTAAATGCTAAAATTAAGATATGTCTTATGTCTTTTTATTTTTTAAAGGTTTTTATTTTTTTTAATTTTTACATTTTTATCATCAGATATAAATGTAAGTTGTAGTGTAATGCAAGTATAATTTTGTAAGTTGAAACCAAATAGTTACCAAGATGTCCATGTCTTTCTTTCTTCAGTCGAAAAGAAATTAAGGTTTTTGATGAAAACATTGCAGGATTTTCTCCATATAAAGGACTTCAATGGGAACCAAACGGTTCAAGGTTCAAATGAGAGTTTCAGTGCAGCTTCAAAGGGCTTTAAACGACACCAGACAATGAATAAGGGTCTTATCTAGCTAAACGATTGGTCATTTAAAAAAAAAAAAAGTTTAAGTTTTATAAGCACAAATGCTCACCTAGCTCTGTTCTGGGGTGAGCGTTCGTGACTCTCCTGTTCAAACTCGTTCATTAAAATGAACAATTTTTTTTTCCTAGATAAGACCCTTATTCATCGTCTGGTGCCATTTAAAGCCCTTTGAAGCTGCACTGAAACTCTCATTTGGACCTTGAAATGTTTGGTTCCCAATGAAGTCCATTATATGGAGAAAATCCTGGAATGTTTTCATCAAAAACCTTAATTTATTTTCGACTGAAGAAAGAAAGACGTGGATGGCATGGGGGTGAGTAAATTATCAGCAAAAGTTTTTTTTTTTTTTTTTTTAACTGAAACTGAAGTGAACTAGGCTACTCCTTTAAAAGTGTGGTTCTGCTATTTTGATGTAGCCCTATGGGAATTTGAAGTGTTTTCTAAAATCATTATTTTTGTTTTGTTTTATTTTCTTTAAAATGTACATTTCATGTTGTTAAAAAAGTTTAAATAATATTTCATGTGTTAAATATTAAGTCAATTAAAATTTATGTACCCGAAAAAAAAAAAAGATTCAAGGAGTAGTGGGGGTGAGAGGTCAGGGGAGAGAGGAAGAGGAGAGGGGAAAGAACGTGGAGAGAGTCGATTGAGAAGTGTGCTGTGAATTTCACGTTAATAGTTGGTAAAACACCAATTTTATAGCCTGTTAGTGAATGTAATTGTATATTTCACGAAAAGTGAGTTGCAGACATTTGCTTAGTCTACAGTGTGAACGTTTATGGTTTTAAAAGTCTCGGTTAGAGTTTTCCACGAAGAGAAAAGAGTGGACGGCTAGTTCAGCATGAGCTACCTACGAGGACTTTGCCCGCAAGTATCCTGCTCGGTTGTGCATTGTCTGAAGAAGCACTTATCTCCAGGACCATACTCTGCATTGCTGTCGAACGACGCCTTCCATTGTCGGCATCGCGAGCACCGCGTGGCGACGCGCTGATCAGCACTACCACAGCTGTTGTTGTTTTTTCTGTGCCACGGCGCTAAGCGACCATTGTGTTTAAAGTCTCCCCGCTCTCAAGCAACACTACAGGCCTGCATCTGATCCTCCTCTGACTGTTGGGGTATTCATTTTATTTAATTGAGTGGCCATTTAGTTATATTTGCCGCCTTAGCTTTCATTTTGGGAATTTAATTGTGGTTTTATGTGAATTGCACTGTTGATATTTGAACTATATGTACATATTATATATATTTTTGTAGTAAATAGTTCAAACATATTTCTGTAGTAGTTTTTCATTACATTGGGTTTAAGATACTGATCATTTGATGCTTAATTTAGGATAATATCCTTGAGTTTACAGTATTTTGGTTTAAAGTGACAGTGTTTATAAATTCTGACTGATATAAGTGACATTTAACTTGATGCTTATTGCCTTAAAGTGTTGATATAGTCATCTATAAAGGGTGGAATATTAATGTAACTTTAAAACCCTCTTTAACCAAGGACTTGAGATAGCTGCATACAATTAGTTTTTTACTTTAATTTGGTTATAGAGAGGCTATTGCCATTTTCCTTTCAGTTAAAATCTAACATTAAAGTAACTGCTAACAAATAGGTATTAGGTAATTACTTTAGAGCATTAATTAATGTTAGAGAGGGAGATCTCTTGCAAAAGGAATTCTAGGAATTCGGGGAGCGCACTCCACAATAATAGCTAGACACGCTAGGGGGCGTTACGTAAAATGGGGGCTCGTCCGGGATAATTAATGCAATTAACTAATTTGTAATTTGATACTAATAGGCGTTAGCAGTAGCTGTTACATTTTTGTTAGTTTTTTTTTCAAAGAAATTAAGCCATAGTTTACTGAAATAAAAAGAAAAAGAAAATTGAGGTTAAGAGTAGCACTGCAGGGGGGCGCTTCCGGCACCGAATGGAGTGAACGTGTTTTTTATAGCTCTCCATAAGTCTGTCGTATTGTCAGAGAAAATACCTTGTAGCCGCTTAAATATCACAAGTTATTAATTCTGAACATCTTGAGCAATGCCGACAAAGCAGAAGAAAACTGAAAAATCGAATACAGAGGAGCCAGGAGGTACAGATAAAGTTCGCGAGTCGTCGCCGGCTAAGGCTAATCTTCAAGCTAACGTTAGCGTTGAAGCAACAGTGCCGATGAACACAGACATAATGGAAGCAATAGCGAAATTGAGCAGCACCTTCGACATGAAGTTTGATGTCCTTTCATCTACGTTATCCCAGGTGAAAGTATCACTTGCTAGTATTTCCACCAGAGTAGCAACGACTGAAGAGACAGCAAAAGTTCACGAGGCCCGCATCGAATCACTGGAGAAGTTATGTGCACACCTGGAGTCCGAATGTGAAAAGCTTAAGGAAAAGTCCTGTGACTTCAAGATCAAGATCCCGACGACAAAACGTTAGAATTATCGGCATAAAGGAAGGCGCTGAAAATGGCAAACCTACTGAGTTTGTAACCAATCTTCTGGCTCAGGTGTTGGGTGAGGAGAACTTCGACCGACCCATTCAGATTGACAGGGCACACCGCTCGCCACAACCCATAAGAGAAGGCCGCTCTCGGGCATTCATTGTACGACTTCATCACTATCAAGTGAAAGAACGCATTCTGCGCCTGGCAAGATCGAAACCTCTGCAATACGATGGAAAAGCGATGCATATCTTTCCAGATCTCGCCGCGGATATCTTGAAACAGAGGCAGAAGTTTGACAACATACGAAAGAAATGCAGGCAGCATGAAGTGAGATGCGGATTTCGTTTCCCGTCCAAGTTCATAGTGACCGTGAAGGATAAAGAAACGAAAACTTTTGATTCACCCGAGTCGGCCGAAATATTTCTACGGGGCGCGGTGGAAAACTGGTGAAATTGCTACGTTGGACAATAGAGTCAGAAGAAGAGACTTG